CGCGCGAAAAGACTGGTTAGTATTACGTTTCGTGGTCTCGCGAATGAGAGAAAGAGTAAGACGGGGAGGAACGACATGACACTTCATCGTCAGCGCGCCCGATCCAGCCGTCCTCGTCATCGGGCTCTGCACCCGTCTGGCAGCATAAAGGGCGGTGCGTCTCGGTCTCCTCTGCTCCCAACTTCCTTGCTCCCCGCGCTCGTCCGCCGCACACCCGCCTTTCCCCTTCTGTCTCTCGCGCTCTTCCCGTCCGCGCACGCCCCGCACCAGCGCCGACACGCCAATAGAAAACAAAACAAAAGACAAAAAAAAACCTCAAAAAAACCTCGAAAGAACACACACCTGCGTAGTCAAATTCGCCGCGAGCGTGTTCACCTCGTCCGTCAGCTCGCGCCACGTGCCCTCCACGTCCTCGACGTGCGCTTGCGCGCCGAGTTTGCCCTGCGCGGTGGGGGTTAGCGAGCCGTAAGCAGTAAAGTGGGGAGAAATTGAGAAAGGCGAACTTGAGCGAGAGTGTAAAGGGAAGGGAAGGGTGGGTGACGGGCAATGGGAAGACAGCGTAAGTGGAAGGAAGCATTTACCTCAGTCCCGACATCGCGACTCACGCGCGTCACCTCCGTCGCGAAGTGGCCCAGGTTGTCGACCATCGTGTTGATGACCTGTGAGTGAGCGAGCGTCAGCGAGCGATTCGTGCGAACGGAATGAGTGAGGGTGAAGAGGGAGGGGGAGGCGAAGTGAAGTAACAAGGGAACGCAGCACGACACGAACCTTCTTCAGCTGCACCATCAAGTCGCCCTGCACGGGCACGGTGATCTTCTGGGTGAGGTCGCCGGTCGCGACGGCGTTGCAGACGCGCGAGACGTCGCGGACCTTGTGTAGTTGTTAGTAAGTGTGATTGGGAGCGGACGATAAGACGGGGAGAAAAGGAGGGAGGGAGGGAGGGGAGAGCAAGCCGTAGTGAAAAAACCAAGGCAGCCCGCCACACCGAATAAAAAACTTAACACAAAACCCACCTGATCCTTCAAAAGCCTCAACTCCTCCAACGCATCCATCCCGCCCTGGCTCGCCGCGCTCGCCAGCGCGCCGCCCGCAGGTACGACGCCCGGGCTCTCCGCGTAGTCGCCCGCGCCGTAGATGGGGCGGTGGCCGCATGCGGGGCACGTTAATGGGCCGGGGCTGCTGCTGCTGTTCGTGGGGTAGGAGGTGTAAGAGGTGGAGGTGTAGGAGAAGCCGTCGTTGATGCGTGCTGTTGCTGTGGCGGAGGGCGAGTGCGCGGGGGTAGGGTGCGACGAGCCCGAGTCGGAGGCAGAGTCTGGGGACTCGAGGGCGGTGTTGTAGGATGCTTCAGAGTCGGGGCTGGAGGGACGTGCGGCGCCATTAGTCGAGTGCGGATTCGCAGGCAATCCACCAAGCGTCGGCGTCGGCGTCGGTGGCCTCCTCCCATTCGTTTTCACACTGGCTATCGCAGGACTTGTCACCGCCGTCGTCGTCGTCTGCGCCGGTCTCCGCATCAGCCCCTCGACCTTGCGCAGAATCGCATCCGTCTGCCAATCTCGAGGGCCGCTATAGCGCGGGACAGGCGACGCAGCGCCGCGGGGGGCGTCGTGGAGGCTGAGGACGGCGAGGAGGTGGTCCTTGAAGGGGTCGGGCGGCGGGGCCAGGGTGCCCATGGTCGTGCTGGATGGTGTAGCCTGAGGCTGCGTTGTTGGTGTGCGACGCAGCGAGGACGTGGTGGAGTTTAGGCGGATGACGTCATCAAGGTCTTTTCTCTTCACTTTCATTTTTTGCGTTCATTTCAAAGCAGCCCTGACTGGTACAGCGTTCATTCCAGTAAGACTCGTGTCTACTCTACTAGCAAAAACAGCAAGGCCACAAAAGCAGCCAACGCGCGGATCATTCTCCGACTCCACCGTCCTTATCGGCGCTTCCTCCTCTTCACTGCACTTCCTCTTCAACGGCTCTTCTACAGCACGGCGCAAAAACACCTCAGGGTCAACGCCCCGTCGACAATTTCCCTGCCGACCTGCCGACCGCCTCCCCTCCCGCGTGACTTCATTCCGGCGCCCGCGATACCGCACGGCGCGTTATCGCCAAGCAAGCTCCGGGGCCCGCGACGCGCGTCCTCCCCTGTGCGGCCTCTTCATTCATCCCGCCCTATGTGCTACGCCCGCCGCTTCTCTTACCCTTCTTGCCCTCTCTTACCCTCTCTAATGCCCGCTCAATCAATCTCAATCTGTTCTCAATCGTTATTCTACAACTCAATGAGCCTCGTGTCCCGGATGCAAGCAGCCTTTAGCTTTCTCTACACGCTCGTGCCTCCCCTCCTGCCCCAGCTCCCCGCATCCCGTCCCCGCATCCGTCCCTCCTCTGCGCATGGCTTAGGCTCGTTCCGAGCAACGTGCCCTTCCACTGTGGTATTTAACCTTTCCGTGGCAATGACAAGCTCCGCCTCCGTCTCCTTCTTTTTCTTTTCGGGCCTGTCAACGGATTCCGTACGACATTCGTACGGCACCTCCCCTCCGTGTTTGTCTATTCCGAGAATTCAATCGTTACACAATCCCATCTCCGAGTCTTACCCTGCCAGGCAGCCCTCCCCCTCCTCTCTCGCTACGTTTTCAGAAAACTCAGAAAACCGAGGAACAAATCCCCACAGCGGAAGCAATCCTTTTCTTCCTTGCCTTGACGCCGTTGACGGATCGACACCGGGTCCAATTCCAAATCTTCACTTATCTTTATCTTATCGCCGTTCTCCATTCGCTCGCCAATCCTCTCCGAGTCTGACAGTCCATTTTGCGGCGCTTGAGGCTGACGAATTCGTCAGCACGAGGATGAGTTGAAATCCCGGCACGAAATCATTCAATAAACCCAGCCCAGCCCGAACTCAATACCCCGCAATTCGAATTTCGACACACACCCCGGTTCAGGCTTCGATGAAACTTCACCACATCGTGAGTCCCGCATATGTTGAACGTTCAAAGGAGGGATGAAGAAACTCGATAGCACACGGTGTGCACCTGCTTTACTTAGAACAAGCCGTTGGGGTATACGCAGGAGGCCCGTTCGATCCGGGGTCGGGTGATCAGTAGATTGTCTCCGACTTTTTACTTCGTCCATACCTCCGTCCATGCCCACGCTGATCTGGATTTGGATTTGGATTTGGATATACAGAACGCAGCGCAATTTCGCGTTCCCTCCGCTGGACATCTCACGCCATAAATTCAACATGTTACATCACCCGATTTGCACTCGAACCTGGTAAGTCCCGTGAACACTAAACCAAGACAGGAAGAAACCCGATAGCACGCGGTGCACCTGCTTTACCTCGAGCTAGAATCGATGTATGCAGCACGCGGGAGGCCCGTTCGACTCGGGGTCATGTAATATCGTGATACGATTTCTTTCCCGCCGCGTCCCGCATCTTCCCGCTCATTCAAATCCCGCAGATTGCTGCGAAATCATCGATATCACTATTTGTGTTCGCGCTCCTCTCTGCACTGACTACATACGCGCAGAAATTGAACCACGGATTCAAGCCCACTCCACAGATCCAACCAAGTCCCGTCCTTATACGGTCCGTATATGTTCAATATGCAGAAGAGGAGGAAGGAACTGTAACCCGATAGCACTGGGTGTGCACCTGCTTTACCGTGACCTCGAGCTCGAATCGATATATGCAAGCGGGAGGCCCGTTCGATCCGGGGTTGGGTGGTGAGTTGTTACCGGGATCGTCTTTTTTCCGACCGCGTCTCCTCGCTGATTCATTTCTACAGATAACACCGAACTCCCGGTATTTGTGTCCTTGCTGGCCAATATCTATGTCCGTAGATCAAACCGCCTTTTTTCAAAGCCCGTCTTCAACTCGAAAACACTCCCCGTGAGTCCCGTATATGTTCAACACCACACCAAGGAGCAAGAAACCCGATAGCGCATGGTGTGTGCCTGCTTTGCTTGAAAGTGAAGGAGACAGTATATATGCAGGAGGCCCGTTCGATCCGGGGTCGGGTAATAGGGATCTTCCGAATTTTTTTTTACGCCCGCACATCTATACATCCTCTCCTTGGTTTCACTCAGATTGCCTCCTCGCCATTCGCTTTCCCTCCCTTCAAATCCTACGTCCGCGAATCCAACCAACCTTCGTGAGGCCGTATAAGCTTCACCTCAAAGTGCAGTACGCACGCCGCTGTAAGGCCAACAACACCCGATAGCACTTGGTGTGCACCCGCTTTACGTAGAGGTACACTTGAGTGGACGCAGGAGGCCCGTTCGACTCGGGGTCGGGTGATATGTAGGACGTGAGCGTTTCTTTTCATTCAATCTTCCATCCACATATCTCCTCGCTGATTCGATTGTAGCCTGAAGGGAATATGCAGGAGGCCCGTTCGGGTCGAGAATCGGGATCGGGTAATTGCTCCTCAAGCCAGTTTTTTTTTCGCGATCGGTCAACACCCACCGTTCATTCCTCGCCGATTCAGTCTCAACGATCGCAGCGAACCTGCCCTCTCTCCACTCAAGATTGAGTGCACAAATTCAATCACAGATTCAACCATGCATTATACGCGCCGGTCTTGGCTGCACCCTTTGATTTTTGAAGCTCCCAGTGCTCCGAGCAGGGCGGAATTCCGCACATTGCAAGGCATGATTCAAATCGTGCGCCTTGGCGCTCACAAGGCGTGCTTTCCAACCACACCAACAAAATTTAACCACATCGCGCTGACGCGGCCAACGATGCAGGATCATGATACACTGAACATTCCCACCGCCCAACGATTGCCCCATGAAATATTCTCCAAATATTCTCTGCAAGTGCGCAATATTAAACCATTCAAACCACCCATAGCGCACGGTGTGCACCTACCTGAAATTCTATGAACGCGAGATGGGATTACAGTGTGCAAGAAGCTCTTTCGACCCGGGTCGGATGATGCAATATTTTTTTCTTGTGTTGGTGTTACGAATGCTTCGGGTGCCTATAGGGAGCCCAATGGGCGCACCGCCTTCAAGACCCCTTAGCTCAGTGGTAGAGCGTCGCATTCCAGCACAGAACCTTCCAAGTATCGCGAAGGCCGTCCGTTCAATCCGGGCAGGGGTCATCATTTTGCGTCCACTCCTGTTTTGTGTCCTTGCCATAGGTAGATACACATAGTTGTCTTCTGGCGAGTCGCAATGGATGATACCCACATAACTGGAAGGCGAGAGTAGCAAACAGCCCTGATCCAACCTGCTTCTTAAGAAACAATCAAGCCTAGATATCGAGCGGCCCCTCTGAGTCAAACAGCTTGTACTCGAATTATAATTTTACCCTTCGCATTTCGCGCGAGCATCCGATCGTACGCCTTCAATAAAATGAGATTCCGCGGGCACCAGGGTGCATGCACGCACCTTCAATGCTTCCTCAAAATCAAAGACCTCATCCACCACAACGCGCAGCTGTCCCTCTTCCACCATCCGCGCGAGCCGCGCCGCCTTCTCGCCGTTCGGGGTCGTGCTGATAAACGCGTACCGCCGCGGCACGCCGCCGAGGATGCACGGAAGGTACGTGTTGAGTAGCGCGCGCCAGATCGTGATGCCTGCACCCTCGAAATTGCCCACGTTGACTAACAGACCCTCCGGCGTCAAGTACGATGTGCACCCCACAAAGAGTGCCTGCGTGCCGATGCAGTCAAGGATATACTCAAACGGCTGAGCACCGTACTCCTCCGCGAGGTAATCAGGCAAGGGCGCGTTTGCGCGATAATCGACCACCTGTGCGGCCAGAATAAGCAACAGCGAAGCACAGGGGACGCGTGCTGACCTCGTCCGCCCCAAGGCTCTTCACGAGCGCAGCGTTCGCAGCGGAGCACGTCGCGACCACGTACGCGCCTTGATTTTTGGCGAGCTGCACGACCATGGTTCCGACACCCCCGCTTGCGCCGTTGACCAGCACGCGCGTCCCGCTGCGCAGTGTCGTCTCCAGGAGCATGTTGACCGCGGTCTGCCCTCCCCCAGCCAGACCCGCGGCCTCTGGCCAGCCCATGCTGGGCGGCACGAGCGCGACGCTCTCCGTGGGGATAACGATATACTCCGCGAGCGTTCCCGCACCCCCGATGAGGTTCGGCACGGGCAGGCAGCCGAAGACGCGCGCGCCGGGCTGGAGGTGTGCAGGCGCCGCGGGGCCCGCGAGGTGGACGACGCCGGCGAACTCGCCTTCAGAGACGTATTCCGTGCTCCCCGAAACGAGGCGCCGGACAAGTGGAGGGATTTTTGCCATCGTCACATAGCAGCCGGGGTTGAGGCTGACGTGAGAGACGCGGATGAGGAGGTCTGCTCTTGCTGGTGGGGGCGGAACGGCGTAGTTTGAGTTCAACGTGAGGATTTCGCGAGGCAGCCCGCGAGCAGAGAAGGTCCAGGCACGTTGAGATTTGGGGAGTGTAGGGTAAGACATTGACCCCGATGTGCGGTGTGCGCTTGGGAATCTTGTGGCAAAACTTTTGCGACGTTTGCTGTCGCTGTCTGGCCATGACGAAGTAAGCAAGATTGTTATCTGAGGAAGCGATGAGATGAGACGCAGTCCGTTGCTTGGAGCTCAGTGCAGTGCATTCAAATCATTCTTGATCTTGCTGCTAAATCTCGCAGGATCTTGCCTGGGGTTACTAGGCGGCTAGACGATCTTGGGACGATCCGACAGTTGATCCAGTTTGGATAGTCTGGATTGGGCATTTGGGAGCCCCGTACTGTGCTGAGCTGCACGGACATGGATTGGCCATGACCGTCTATGACCGTTGTGGATGAAAGTGAAAGACAAGGTTCAACTACCCGGGCGTCACCCGACGCATTGACCCGATCCGTCCCGTTGATGGTGTGATTGGTTGACTTCGTCCTCAAAATTGTTTCTCGCTTTATTGCAGTTGTCTCCGGAAACCTTGCTCTCTACGACGGAATGCCATGCTGTACATCCGCTGAACAATTGATCGAGTCACCGCGCGCGCGGTCGCGGGTCGGCCCGTTCAGTGTTCAACTTGCACATCAGATAACAAGCCGCATTGAATCCAAGACGGTCGTCTACAGACGAGCCAAAATTTGCGAGCAATCGCACTCCCGGCCAATTTTAATGTGGTATCATCATCCCGCCCAATCGTGATGCGAGCAGGTCATTGACAGATGTTCAACATGGCATGCGAGTTTCCGCTTAGACTCAACGACAAGAACAGAACCTAACCGAACCATAATGGCCAATATCTGATACGAATCCAATCTTCACAGCGGGTAGAATGGTTTGCACAACGTTGAGTCGGAATCACCGGCTGCCGCATTGTGCCCAACTGTGGCTGTCACAGTGGTACTGATACCCCATTGAAATCACGTTCTTGACGATGATATCCATGGTGTTTATCTCCGTCCCGCCGAACGCCGCACCAATTGTACCCTCAAACCTTCATCAGAGATCTGCGTGGACTAGCCTTGGAGCGAGTGCTGCTGTTGAAACACTCTCATGTCACAAGGAATCGACAAGGAATAATTACACATCAAATATCTAGCAGACACAAATTACAAAGTGGGAAACGAATGTGATTATATATTGACTGATTTGTGAATGAGCGGCTCGGCGGCTACTTCCGCCGCGTGAAGACGAGCTTAGCCGTCGGATTTGGGACCGTGAAGATGTTGAACGCGAAAGGCTTAGGCGACTGAGATGCGCCTGCGGGGAACGCGAGGTCATAATTGAGCAGCAGCTCCGCCACGATGATTTTGATCATGAGCGCCGCACTGAATCCAGTCAGTACAAGAAACACCACCGGTCATAGATTGCAGCCTTACAGGAAACGGCCAGGGCATCCGTGTTTGCCGACCCCGAACACGATATAATCGTTGCTGAGATTGGTGAAGGATTGCTGGATGTCGCGCGCGGTGTTGTCGCCTGTGCGGAGTTTCGAGAAGCGGAACGGATCGAATGTGTGTGGGTCGGGGTAGGCTCCGGGATTCAAGTGCAGGGGCTTGGGCGCTAACGCGACGACGCTCCCTTCCGGAATTACGATCCCGTTTGAGATCACCGCCTCGCGAAGTGTAAGCCTCGATGACCCCACTGGCCAAATATGAGTAGGGTTTCGGACCGAAAAGGAGAGGCGGACCCGCAAATAGGGAGTGGAAGCGTCCGATTTCTTTCAGGAGAGAATCGAGCTTGTAGAACTTTCCAACTGCCGCCTTGTTGCAGGAACCCTCCGACGCGATCGCGTCTAGAATTTCCGCCCGGATCTCTTCCACCTGATCGGGGGGCATGCGTGCCAGCTCAAAGAGCGCATGTGTGGTGAATATTCCTCTGCCGTCTACGTCAGAGAAATGCGGTAGATACGAATAACCGAGACGAACGAGGTATGTGTTGCCGCCATATTCAAATGCACTGAGAGATGGGTAAAATTGTCAAGTATTGAGATGAACCAGTGAATGTACATACCGACTCGCACCGCCAGTTTAGGGACATCTTTGATGTCCTCCTCGGGCGCATAACGAAGGAGAAGATCGGTTATAGTACTCGGATTGTCCTGCATAGAATGAGAGACGAGCCGGATACGATGCGTCACCACTTGCCTGTTGTGCATATTCTATACGATCCTGGACGTACGGAACGACGAGCTTGACTGCACCGTCTTTCGCACCAACTGTCACGCAGAACAGCTTCCATAACGCACTGGAAGATTTCATGAGATGCGCCGCGGTAGGAGAAAGTGCAACTCACGAGCGGAGAAATACAGGGAACCAGTTCAAGATCTGCGACATGGGAATCACTTCTTCGGCAACACTGACTTGCTTCTTCAAGAATTTTTCGTTCCGGCAGCCTGGCGCCCCGATCATTGCACGATTTCCAACTCGCGCAACCAGATGCACCATGGTCGGAAACAATGCAACAGCGACCGAATTTTCGGACTCCACTAGTTTGAGATGGTCGGGGATCGCCATTTGCGTCTCCTCGAGCATCTCAGGGACCAGTGAACGGAGCGCCTTCGTCAAGTCCGATCGTATAATGGTCTCGAGGTGGTACGGGTTCGAAGTGATGTCCCCGAACATGATGTTCGGTTGGAAAAGCTAGAGGGGAGATAATGAGCGCATGGTTCTGCAGGTAGTCAAATCTGCACGCGACCTGTTTCGCACGCATCGGCGCGTTGAACTGTGGACTAGGTCAAACATTTGGATGCCTCGGAATCGCAACACATACGACGGAGTCATCCGACCTGCGAAGCAACTCTACGTCATCGGGCCCCAGCACAATCCACTCCCCACTCATCGACGGCAGAATGAAGGGCTTGCCGCCGAATTTGGCCCATCCCTCCTGGACAAGGCCGTCACTGTCCAACACAGAGCGCAGGACCGTCCACGCATAACCAACGGGCCCAGCCCTACCGACACGAGGCAATGTCGTACGATTTCGCTTTGCGAGGTAGCCCAAAGCAACGAGGAGAGCAAAGACCGTGGCCAGAGTCGAGCTGTTTAGCATTATTGAGCGGATTTGGAGGGGTGTAACTTTGAGACCGACTTAAAACGGAGGAATCGTTACGATGCCGAGCAGATGCTGTGGAGTTGCACCAGAGACTACGAAAGACAAGCATCCTGACAGTAACACCGAGGCCTCCGACGACTCGCGAAAAAATGCATGAATGCAGTCGTAGATCAAGATGAATGAGTAGCACAGCAAATGATGGTGTATCAGCCACAACGTTCGATCAACGATCTTCTCGTTGGAGACGATCAACGCGTCGTGCGCTCTATCTCGTCTTTGGCTCCGCCTTCCGATGACCCCCCATCCAGCCCGCAAATAGCGGCCCCGCGGCTTCGCGACGCGTCGCTGTTCTACCGAAAGGTGAGGGGCGCCACCGCTGGTGTTAGTTAACTCAATAGGACTCTCACGCGCGGTGAATGATTCTGAATCAGAATGAATAACTGATGATGGTCATACGCAGCACAGTTCTACTAGCTGTATCCTTTTTTAAGTTTCCTACAACGAATCATCTACATCAGTTGTATGCGGAACTTCCTCTCAAGGCATTCAAAGCTACTAGTATTCGAAGCTACCCAAATCCATCAAGCTTCTGCTGATTCAGTTAAATTCCTGGTCGTCGTA